AAAATCTCGCTTAACAAATCGTGCAAATCATTTCTCCAAATATATGTCGAATATATTTGAAGGTGATGATTATGACGACAGATGTCGCTGTACAACCAACATAAAATAAGATAAAGACTCTATCATTCAGTTCAAATTTCAACGCACTCAACTACGACGACAATTTGCAATTTCCGTAAAGACGTGGACACCTTGCAACGAATGCAATTGTTAATTTTTAAGAGCTTGAATAATTCCAAAACCAGAACGGAAGTTCATACGACTCTTACGAAGAAGAGAAAGAAGTTGTTAAATACGGGCAATGTTTGCTAAGTTTGATAAAGAAGAATTTCCGGTTCTTGTGTTATATATTTATAGCATTTAAAGACTAAAGTTTGTGGATCTATTAGTACCCTACTAGGTCTACTAAGACTAGTAATGTAAAGATATCTTTATCTTGATAATAGAAGTGATATACTAAAAGAAAAGAAAAAGGCTCAGCGTAGAACTTCGATTTGCCCAAAATGGCTGTGGGGTAGGCGTAGCATAGACTCTATAGCCTGTGTGATTTTCTAAAAAAAAACATTACATTTACTAACATGATTACTAGGTTTAATAGTAGTAACGAAATGTCGATGAAAAAAGTTTCAGACTTTTGTATGAAAAATTAGTAAGAATCATAAAAACAGTAAAGAACGCAAAGCCATTCAAGTAAAACATGTCTACCTCAGTGCACGAACTACATTGTCTATTTCTATTCATATAAAAATTTGCCTCATGAGACATGTAGTTTGTAGTTAGTAGTTATGTCTCGCCAACAATATATCAAGCAACAACCCGAAAACAAAGAAATATACAGGTAACATTCGTAGGAAAACTTTGGGCAAACCAGTTTTTATTTTTCTGATCACACCACAGGAATCTGACGCATGATTTATGAAGTGAAACATTATGAACAAAGATAATCCCCATGGAATGCACTGGTGATTAGCTTTTGTTGATTATCCTTGACTCGCAAATACATCAGTATCGAACTATGGAAGCCGTTAGTGGCTATTTTCTACTCTCGACTGGCGCACAGTTATGTTTAGAAGTCGTAGAAAATTGTTCTCTTCCACCCTATTTTCTTTTTTTCTTGTCCTTTCCCTTGCCTTCTGACTTTGACGACTCCCCACCTTTTGCTATATTTTTCTCGAAAATGGTAAACGACCGTAATCGGACTCCATATTGAAATTCTATACTTTTATCTGTCTTCACACTTACATCCCTTTAAGATCTACTTAAATATTAATTATAGAAATGTCCCTTTGTGGTCAGAGAAAATGGTATCAAGGAATACTACAAGCTAGGCTGATTTCAATCAATGGATGGACGTCAATCAAGATCAAAAGGATTCAAAAGAGGTTTAGTTTCTGTAAAGGAAACTCCCGATAATGACGTCATTCCCCATGTTCATTTTATACACCCACATTAAATGTGGTCTTATATTGTCGTCGACCCTGTCCATCAATCAACAATTGACTTGTGAACTCTATAGATTTCAGCGTTTTTATCGGATTTTAATGAAATTCAGTGTGACTTATATTCATGAGATCTTGGTCAAGTTCGAATTTGACGAACTTTTGATGAACGGTTTTTGAGTTATTGCCCTTGACTTTTATTTATGACTTTTTGAACACAACAGATACTACAGTTTTTATCTGATTTTAATGAAATTTGGTGTGATTATATTCATGAGATCTTGGTCAAGTTCGAATTTGACGAACTTTTGATGAACGGTTTTTGAGTTATTGCCCTTGACTTAGGAAAAACGCGTAAATATTTGTTTGTGAACACAACAGATACTACAGTTTTTATCTCATTTAAATAAAATTTGGTGTGATTATTTATAATGATATATTATGTCAGAATTTGATTAAATTTTGTGTGTTTGTTTAAATGAAAAGTATCTTGCACAAATTAGATTTTTGGTATGACTTCACGCAGATTGGTGACATCCCTTGATATACTCGATAACCACTTGTTTTATATTCTTTTTATTATTTGAAGTAGTTTTTATACGCCCACAAATATATTTTTGGCGTATGTTGTAATCACCCTGGCAGTCCGTCGATCCGTTCACATTTGGCTCGTACTCACTCTACAGGCTACAATTCTTTACGAATTCTTTCGATTTTAATTCGTAGGTCAATGTCATTATCGTTTTCGTGATGATCTGATAATTTTTCACCGAAATATCGTGTGCGACCTAGCGTTTTCACTCTACTAACTGTATTGTGCAATTCGTGCTCACCCTACGGGCAACATTTCTATATACCTTCTTTTGCTTTTATTGTGGGTCAATTTCATTATGATCCCTATCGATTTTCAGGATGATCTGAATGATTATTTCACCAAAAAGTCCGAAGTGACGAGAGTCTCATTTAATTCTAACTAGACATAAAGTAGACGAAGTGTTTCCTTTGACGAGTCATTATTTGACAATAATGGTGGTTAAGATTTTCGCTTTACGTCAATCAATTAAAAATTAATGGCTTGATATACATGCTTTGATAATTGAAGAAGTCTTTTATAATAGTAATGTATTTTATGAATTGATAGCCTACTATGGTATAGTATACAATACAATCAGATGTTCAACATACACACCTTAATTAAAGAGCGATTTCCACTTAAACATATTAACAGTTTTTATCACACAACAGTACTGTTCCCGGGTTCATAAAACAGGATTTGTTACGCGCAAGGAAATTTTGCAGAAATGTTTTTTTTTTTTACAAAAAAGGCTGACATTTGTAAATTGAACATTAAATCGACATTTTATGGTGTGTCACAATTTGCACACGTTAAAGTTTCCTCGATGGATTTTAAAATCGGAAAAGATGTAGGCCTTGTTCGCAATTCTGGCAAAACTTCCTTCAAAACACACTGCATGGTGATGCTCATGTTCATGAGACCAAACTACGTAGCCCATCACAGTTCATTATTTCGTTTGTTAGTTTCGTTCGCCTTGCTTGGCCCTTTATAACACAATATGACATTATACCCCTTGTTGTCAAAGACCTTACCTATATACTACTCATGTTATTATATTAGCGTGCCTTTGAATGAATTATTTTATTATATATAGGTAAGTTTAAGATTTTTTCTATAATCTGTTAGATATCTGGATAACTGTGATTTGACACTTATTGCTTTCCTTTTTTTATTCTGTTGTTAAAGGGACAGATGTGCCATTCTTTTGGATCATACCAAGCCAATCAGTAATACTGTTCACAGCTCACCGTCGAAATCTTCAAATCCATGTGTATCTATATTTATCCGCGTTTGGATGTTAAAATGACGACTCGTCATTTTAACATACTCTGTGATATATAGAAAAGACATATAAAGAAAAAGTGAGGAGTAAAGAAATTATTCGCTTTTTGTACATTTCTAGTACTTTACATATTTATTTACATATATTCAAGACCAAAATCAACCTCCCAAAAAATATTTTTCTATTTATGTAGTTTTAAGCCTGAAGAAGCATTGTGTTTATGTGAAAGTTTGCCTCGATATATTAAAAGTAAAAGTAGAAGAAAGACTTTTTATATTCATCCATGTTATAACCGCTTATAAACATCAGAGGGGCTTTTCATGAGGCTGCTTTTTTCAGGACAAAATGTACAGCATAATTACTGTAATCTTTTGTTTTTGGCAGTTTTAAATGGCCGGCGAGAAAAAATATTTGATGGAACCGCAGTTAATGGGTTTAGGGATTATGATGGTATGATGGAACTACAAAAATATCCATCTTTCCAAATATACCTGGGTTTGGGTTAATCTAAAGTATCCCCACAAAACAGAGTCTAGTTTTCTGTCTTTACACCAGCCAACAACAGAATCGTAATTAAGAAATTTGCTTACTAGAGGCCTTTTTTATTCTATGTGTTCAGTGATATTTCCGCTACAAATATTTTGAAAGGAAATGGCAATAAACTCTTGTGCACTACAATAAGATTATTTGTAATACATGTATAGTAATAATATAGTCAGTGTTTTGGGATTTGACCTGAAACGAACCTAAACAATAACTATGCCGTGTTACAGCTTTTAATTCTTTGTATTTAGGCTACTAATCTTAATCCGGGTCGTAATACACGACATAAACAATAACACAGTATATTAATGTATATTTCAGCTAAGATTCGATAATAAAATGTTATTGTTATTTTGGAAGTTTAGACTGCCTAACATGATTTAAGTGATTTCATACAAGTCAGGAGATATACCAAACCAAAATGGGTTGTGGTAGTTCAAAAAGTACCCATGTTTCAACCCACAAACAGTATCTTACCGAAGAGGAAAAACACGATATCAAATTATCATGGAAGTATTTCATGTCAGAGGATATGGTAGAAAGTGGCTACCATATTTTCTTCTAGTAAGTTGTTTGATTATGTATTTGTATGGGCGCTGAAGGATTTTTTTAGCGATGGGATAGCATGCGGTGCAAAGGCATAATTCATCGGCGCTCCACCCACTAGAGTGGTGTTACTAGGGGTGAGGAACCGAGTAGCGGCCACATAGTTGTCAAGTGTGAGGGGGTGGAGGACGTTGTGGTTGGTGGTATGGGACTCACAGACAGTTATTCCCCTGTACATTTGGAATTTGGAAGAAGGGGTCAGCTTTCTTTTTCAAGGGACGGGGAGAGGGGGTGGAGGGCATTACTCTCCCTAGAAGCACCACTGTAACACGGTCTGGGTCGATTCGGTACTTTTTGATTTTTGACATACGGTTTCCCTGTAACTGATGCAATATTCAGATAGGATTAAGTTTCTGGCCGACCAGCTAAATATTTGTCGACATGTAATTCTTCAAGGGGTAGGCTAATGTCGCTGCCAGATATATTTCCCTCATTGCACACAATAAAATGCTGTCCATCATCACTTTCTCGATCAACTCCATTTCATTTCCTTTCAACATATAGTATTTTCAGGAAACACCCAGACACCAAAAGACTATTTCATTTTATTGACATGGACGACAACCAGGAATCTCTCAAAGAAAACTACAGATTTCGGTGCCACGTTGGCCTATTCTGTGAAACGATAAGAATAGCCGTTGAAGAGATGAGAGAAATTGAAGAAGTTCTCCTGTTTTTGAAAGATTTGGGCAGAAAACATAGGATGTATGGTGCGACACCTACATATATTAAGGTGCGTGAAAGAAACAAGTAAAGCAAAACCAACGCCGTTTTTTCTTACAATCAGTTCGTTCAAGATTTTTCGACTTTTGGGAAAAGGCATGATTAGGCTAGTCATTGTCATTATCAACTGCCGAGGCTGAATTCAAAATGCAGCATCTCTGTAAAGGAATGATTAGGCTAGTCATTGTCATTTGCAATTTCTTTTATAAATTGTTCGTCTTCATTTTGTTCACTCTGGGGCACAAAGTAGCATCTCCAACTCCAGTTTATTTCCATCAATTTACGTTTTGGGATTTTCGCAGCGTCTCCCCATTTGCTACATCTTCAGTTCTGAAGGTTATACGAAGGGTATATTTTTTTTCTAAACTTCCGGTTAGATTTATATGTCATTCGTTTTATGACGTCATTAATCGCGAAGGTTCCTTTAATGTATAAAGCATGTAGCGATTAGTGACGTCAACAAACACTTAGTTTTAGTGGAATTGCAGGAACCACAGACATCTGGTTGAACACTGGAATAATGAAAATTAATGGTCTCAGTGTCCCAGATTTTTACATAATTTTTTTTCACAGTCCTCTTAAGAGTTGTCTCGATCTCTTTCTAATTTTGCTTAATGTGACTATGAAATGTTACTGATATTTTTATTACAGACAGCGGGAGAAGGAATAGTGTATGCAATAGACAGAAAATTGGGTAACGAATTCACTCGGTCAATGAAAACATCTTGGAAAAAATTCTTTACAATATTACAAGATTCAATATTAGAAGGTTTAGAATTTGGATAAAGAATCGTGAATAGCTGTTATTTGACTTAACAGTTAACGAGGTGACAATGTGATCAGATTGGAACTATTAAAAATAGTGTGAAGTAGACTAAGTGGCTTGTCCCTGTGGATCTTATACAAAAAAAATCAAAATTTTGTTATTAGTTCTGATTAAGGCGTAGAAACTTACGGTATCTCAAACATAAGTCGGGAGACCCCGCCTCCGAAATGTCGACAAAAACGATAATTGTCACCCAGACACAAAAATTCCAAACCGGAAGCAATGCATAAAGAGTTATCGTAGAGTGGCGCATTCTCGTACAGTTCGTTGGAGTTTTTTTTCAGATTCTTACTGTTCGTCCTCTTCTCAAACGATACCATCAATACCTCATTAACAAACTTAAGAATTGTGCATTATAAAGATAAAAATAAAAGTGCAAGTGCTTCGAGTGGGCTACTCGACCCAACCATTTCATGATACGATCTTCATTATCAACTGCCGAGGCTGAATTTAAAATGCGGCATCTCTGTAAAGGCATCATAGTCACAAGCGTGGAGCGTCTGAGGGGGTTCTGTTCTCTCAAGAAAATTTCGGAAAATTAAATTCATTCTGTGCATTTTGACACGTTTTTGGGGCAAAAACGTACAAAAATCATATTTTGAAATTTAACAATAAAACAGGAGGCGTTCACACTTAAAGGATAGTAACACTCGGCAAGTATTTCTTGATTTTCGACTGGGATATACCAATGGTAAATAATTGCCGTACATCGTTGATAAAGCAACTGAACATTCTACTGTTACATTCTATCGCGAGAAAATATGGTCCGACGGGAGATTAGACTCTTATTCGGATCAAAACGACTTGTGCGTTATGGCATTATACTGTACATTTCTACCGGAATATAAATGGATACAAAATAATTATACCGCATCAAAATAAACAATATTGGCTAGGCCTATTAGGAGTCTTATTATCCAGAGATATATTAATGCCTTTACTAATAATAAAAAACAAGACGTAAGGGAAACACTTATTTTATTATTAATAAGGTTATTCACAAGTTAATGTAAAACGTCTATACAAAACAATCAAAAACAACTTTGCTTTTATTCTCAGATACATCAACAACGTCTTTTAAACTACGCCCTTATCAATAAATAAATGGTGCCTTGACTAACTTTATCCAAATAGCTTCGTTGAAGGCAGCGAATTTTAACCAATAAAACAAACCTTTTTCCTAAGGGATTGTTCGTACTCCTCATATTTCAATCTCATTCGCGAGTTCGTGCGTTCATAATTACAAAACAAGACGTAAAAACGACAACATGTAAGCGTGTGATTGGCCGATTTGAAAATCGCATAACATGGATATTAATACCCTGTCCCAAATGCGAAGTCTATCACGGTATATATGCAATAGTTTCCGACGTGTTGAATAGGCGATGACTATAAGGACATCAAGAGCCGCCTGATTCTAGAAAAAACATTAAGATTGGAGGGGCTCACAAGAAAGAAAAAAATATCTTATCAATTGAGTCTGACAATAAAGGCTATTTTCTACAGACTATTTTTACTGAGGATCCCTTGACATTTGAAAATCGAAAAAGAAGGCAAATCCTGACAAAATTTCTCTCATTGCACACTGTATGACATTTCCCGTCTTTGCCAAGTGAAACAGAAATATCGGATACTGTACTCCATTTCAGTTTCAGCTACCGATTTCCAAAGTCCAAAGCTAGCATAACTTCTTGCAAGATATTTTGAGAAATGTGTTCATTTCAAAAAAAATCTACGTCGTGCTTTAGAATAATGACATATTGTCAAGAAAGCTATGATGCACAAATAAACAAACAAATTATATAAACACAAATATTGCATAGTTGATATTATCTGTTAACAAATTATTCACAAATAAACAAATGAACTGTACATTATTCATAAATAATTAATCATCTTTAACAATTAGTAAGCACGGTCGTCAGAACATAAAATCGGATTGCTACTGTAAATAGGCATTGCATATCCTTGAGAGATATGAATAACTTTTGGCTTCTTTATATGTCGGCCCTACCTGATAAAAATCAAAAAAATTTTCTTAAAGAAATGAAATGAATGGAGTTTTACATCTTTCTGTTCTGCACTTGAGGCTAATGAAAATGGTCTTGGATTTTTCAGATGGATCCATCAGTTTTTTGAGGAAATCGATGATCTAAATGCAGTTTTGGAATCACAATATTGAGGTAGCTCTAGAGTAATCAATCAGGTAAAAATTTCCACGGAATCAAGCCTAACAATGAATGGAGGAACTTAAAACGAACTTACCAAGCTATTAGTAAACTATACAAATATAATACAAGCATAGGAAAATAATATTATATATCCTTAAAACTTTTGATAATAGTAGGTTTAAATAAAATGGAATGCCCTTAAAGAATAATGCCTAAGTAATAAAAATCTACTTGCAGTGTTCCAACTATGTAATTCTAATAAAGCTGATGAAGACATTCATTTGAACACATTAGATGCAATTGTGTCACCTAAATTCTTCAACAGATATGAAAAGAGCCTGCTAAAGTGAGGATATTTTAATATTTTTTAAATAAATATTTGTAAGGAATGATTCAAGCAGTTAATATGCAATTCTACATTTTACTGTTACTACTTTTATACATTATGTGTTTACATTGGATTTTATTGAATAAAAAGAAAAAAATAATTTAAATGTAATAAAAATATCTTTAACATAAATTATAGCCTGTAGATGTATCATATGATTAGTCCCTACCGACCTACTAGACATTTTGTTTCATCCCCTTCTATGAGTTACTTCACTCCTGGTAGAATCTGAGAAATTATTTTGGACTAACCAATCAAAACCACAGTTTGCGAATTCTATATGCAGTCTATAACTGGAGCATTTAGAAAAGATAGCGAATTTTGATGAAATGTGAATCAAAATTTAACTTGATTAGCCAAAACTGTAATCTCGTGTGAGTAATTGCTAATCAAATTGTCCAATCTATTTTGAACCCTGTCCTAGTACAGGTGAAATTTTTATCAAAGTTTTGAAACAGATTGCCAAAATACACTCAAATACTATGAATGGCAAAGAACAAAGTTGTCATTTTGGCTTGATTTGCAGCACACTTTTCATTTAAGGTTCTATGATACCTTCAGGGCCTACACATACACACACAAAAAATAATAATTTTACATTTTATTCACTGGGATGATAATTTAAAATATAATTAACCCACACCATCATATATCATTTATAATTTCTAATGAAGACATTTTAATTTAAAGTTAACAAATGCTGCCACACAAAGAAGAAAAACATGCCCATGCCAAATCACATACAATTCCACCAAAATCAACTTCTTAATCAGCAAAAAATGTCAGTTTTAAAGAATTTTTTTTTAACTTTTTTTTATAATGTAATTTATAAATTATGACATCATAACACAGGAAAATTGTGTATATGAACTTCACTGTGAAGTATTTTTTCCAGCATCATTTCAGTCAAGACAGAAACACACATTGATACCCAAATGAATAAAAACTATGGCAAAAATGGAATAAATTAGCCATATTAGGTATGATGAAGTTTCAAATTAACATCATATAAATAATATCATTATATTTAGTATAATAATATACAGAATAAGTTACAGAGTTATACATAAAATAGCTTAAGAATTAGAATTTTTTCTACCTCAACAAATTGTCATAAGAATAAACAATAAGTACTAGATTAACTGTAAAAAAATACATTTAAGTATGATTTTGAAGGTGACATTTATATAGTTTATACTGCTCTACAATTGATGTATTGAGCACTATTTAAATAGCGGTATTTCTATATTGCTCTACAATTGATGTATTGAGCACTATTTAAATAGCGGTATTTCTATATTGCTCTACAATTGATGTATTGAGCACTATTTAAATAGCGGTATTTCTATATTGCTCTACAATTGATGTATTGAGCACTATTTTAACAGTGGTATTTCTATATAACTCTACAATTGATGTATTGAGCACTATTTTAACAGTGAAAATATTCTATTATTTTATATCGGCCTATTACACCACACATCTTTATCAATCTATAAGTTAGCTGGTTTTTTTTTTTTTATCTAGGATGTCACTTACAGGCAAATACGAAACGACGTATGGTTCTTACATAACCATTTTGAATTTCTACCTTGAATTATTAAGTCAAATTTTTCAACCAAGCCTTTAAATCACATTGAAAGCCATTTTAAATCCTTTACATAAGAATTGAAGGCTTGGTAGAAATAAATTTTTTTTAAAATTTGACTTATTAAGTCGAGTAAGAGATTGAAAATGGCTGTGAACTATATTCGCATGTGTTATTTCCATGCAAGAAGCGTACTTTCGAATGCTTCAGGCATAACAGACTTTGGTAGCGCCTAATCTTTATTTAAACATGAAAACTTCAACAACAACAATAATATTACCACAGAAAGACATAGAGTTTAACAATATTTATAGTTGAAGGTGGTAGAAATTGGTATAAAATAGAAATTCACTGAGTTAAGGGTGGTATAAGGCAAACACTGGACTGGGATGATCATTTGAGTTTGGCTTGAGCTAATATCTGAGTTAGTGGCTGATTGTCCATCATTTATTGTTATATTTCCACTGATTGTCCATCATTTTTTGTCATTTTTTCACTGATTGTCCATCATTTTTTGTCATTTTTCTACTGATTGTCCACAAAACTGATTATTTTTTTTCCACTGATTGTCCACAAAACTGATTGCTTTTTTTCCAACTGATTGTCCACATAATCAATTTTCATTTTCTACAATTTTGTTCACAACTGATTGTCATTCTTCACTGATTGTCCACATGACATCTTTCCTACTCTATTTGTCCACAAAACTGATTGTCATTTATTTCACTTATTCTCAACACAATTCAATTCCTTCCTCGACACTAAATTTCTTCACTGAATGTCCACAAAACTGATTGTCACTTCCGCACTGATTAACACAGCTAAATCACTTTCATAATCAGCTATGGTAATTGGATCAGGAATCAGCTCAAGCCATCTTCAATTAATGAAATCCTACCGCTATCTATTCAAACCATCTACTTTCAATTTGTTTTGACTTTTGTTTTGAGTAAATGTTGTGTACCCTGGTGTACAGCTTTTGCATAAACATGAGCTAAAACCTAAAAAAACAAAAAAAATTTATTGAATAATGGGTGTATGCAAATTGAAAAATAAATAAAATTAATGGGTGATTTGGATCTCAATTGTTTTCAATTTAAACCAATTCAGAAGTCAAATTTAATGTTCTACTGCTTATGAAGATGGGTTGTGTTGTGAAGTGTGCAATAAGGGTAATTTTACAAAAAGCTCTTTGAAAATATGTGATAAGAAAAAGGCTTAATTTACATTAAGTGTGTTGTTAAATTGATAATATATGAAGGAAAATTTAGAGTTCATGATAAAGTATCCAGGGAAAGTCTTTATAAAAGAGTTTATTCATAGCTAGTTATATACTCACTTTTTCCCAAATATGGTCGGCAAGTTGGTCTATCTGTACTGCTACATGTCTATATTCTCCGGAATATCGTACATATAACCACGTAGCCATTAACACAAGAAAACCAACCATGATTAAATTTAATAAATTAGCAACTGATTCAAGTCCAACAACTCCAAATAAGCCAGCTAATAAATAAGACACTACCATAACTGTGAATAATACCGCCGGCGTTCGAGCTGCAGCGAAGATATTTTTAGTTTCATTATGTTTCACTAGCTGATCGAACGCTTCCTTTATCTCGATTTTTAATTTTGTTGAAAAGGCTTCACTGAATTCAGCTCCTCCCATCTTTTTAGTTGAGGCAAATAATTCCATGGCTCTGTCAAAGGCTCTTTTATGTTCAAGATGTAACATTTCTGGATTAATATAAGGTTTATCACCACCACAAACCTAAATTAGAAATTAAGTCCTCCTATAGAAGGAAAAGCATCTATCTTCTGAAACATCAAAACCTTGAACTTGTCATACAGAACTTGATGGATTACCATGGAAAATGTAATCTAATTTCAATTTTAATTCTGAATATCACAAATAACCTTAAATGGTTTATACTTAATGAAAATCTGCCTTTGCATTATGAATTATCAGAATTTGGTTCAAAGGTTTCTAATTGGCATTCTGTTTCATTGACAGGAATAATACCAGGAGTGTTTCTAGGCCTTATATACTTACATCTTCCATCTCTTTTGTGTAACAATTTTTAGCTGCTGCAACTGCTGCTAGATTATTTGCTTCAGCTGTTGCCTGAAATTTTTTAATTTAAGTCATACTTTAAGTTTGATGGAGCTTCACATTCATAGTTTGATGGAGCTTCACATTCATAGTTTGATGGAGCTTCACATTCATAGTTTGATGGAGCTTCACATTCATAGTTTGATGGAGCTCCACATTCATAGTTTGATGGAGCTTCACATTCATAGTTTGATGGAGCTTCATAGTTTGATGGAGCTTCACATTCATAGTTTGATGGAGCTTCACATTCATAGTTTGATGGAGCTTCACATTCATAGTTTGATGGAGCTTCACATTCATAGTTTGATGGAGCTCCACATTCATAGTTTGGTGGAGCTCCATATTCATAGTTTGATGGAGCTCCACATTCATAGTTTGATGGAGCTACACATTCATAGTTTGATGAAGCTCTCTGTTCATAGTTTGATGGAGCTCCCTGTTCATAGTTGGATGGAGCTCCATATTCATAGTTTGATGGAGCTCCCTGTTCAGTTTGATAGAGCTCCATATTCATAGTTTGATGGAGCTCCACATTCATAGTTTGATGGAGCTCCATAATGTTATACATAGTTGGATGAAGTCACAGTCATATTTGGATGAAGTCAGAGAGTCATATTTGGATGAAGCTCCACATTCTTAGTTTGATGGAGCTCCATATTCATAGTTGGATGAAGTCACAGTCATATTTGGATGAAGTCAGAAAGTCATATTTGGATGAAGTCAGAGAGTCATATTTGGTTGAAGCTCCACATTCTTAGTTTGATGGAGCTCCATATTCATAGTTGGATGAAGTCACAGTCATATTTGGATGAAGTCAGAAAGTCATATTTGGATAAGTCAGAAAGTCATATTTGGATGAAGTCAAAAAGTCATATTTGGATGAAGCTCCACATTGCAAGAGACACATAATATGAGGTTTACCTGTTAAAGGGAAAAGATTCGAAATACAAATATGACTTTGATATTAGATTTAAGACTCACCTGTAACATTGACTTGGGTTCTGGTAATTCTTCACCTTGATAAATATTGATATATGCCTGAAATTATAACAAAATATATTTTTTAAAATAGTGCTCAATACATCAACTGTAGAGCGATATAGAAGGTATTTAATAACATATTGATATATGATAGAAAAAATTTCATTTATTTATTCAAACACAAGTTACCACCTTTAATATGCTTACTTCATATTCCATATTCTAATTAGTATGGTAAAAGATTCAGTAAATTGAGAGTGATCACCAGAATTCATAAATTTCAAAGGGTCTAAGGTATATTTAGTATTTAGTTGTAGATGAACCAGAATCACCTTTTAAAACGAGATATGTGTCCTTTAAGGATAGCTCAATATCAACTATGTATCCCCACCTGGGTTTTTGTAAATTTGATTGAATCCGTCACTTAATCAATATAAAAAGAAAATTAACAACAAACCTTGAAATATTCAACCAGATCTTGACATGTAATCTGTGAACCGTTGATTTCTTTTACTATTAAGTTTTCTTTTGACAATAATAAAGGCACTAATATTTGCAACTGTTCTGTAAAATCTGCTTCAATATCTGTAACACAAAGGAGAGAGCATGTTGAAAATTAGTTCATTTGTTCATAGTTTGTTGGCTATTTCTTTGCCTTGTTTATGGAATTAATCAAAGCATATAAATTGCTGATTATGCAAAGCTTGAACTAAAACTAACTGTTAAGCCACAATAAATGAGGAATGCTGTCTACTGGATAATCCTTACAGTAGGAAATGAAAGTAGATATCCAGACATTTGCTTCTACTATTTTCTGTTCTGATAATCTGTCACCATACACAAGAAAGGCCATATCAATTTCATATCTTTTAGCACGTTTTACAAAATTTGAAAACAATATTCAACTATGATATTTTTTGTTAATGAATACATAATATAAAAAATTCATTTCAAACTTGAAACTAGAATTATACTGTCTTGATTTACAGATGCTACCTTTTAATCTTCCATCAAAATGTGGATTGGTAGCAACTTTTAGACCAGGATGTGGTAATAAAAAACATGAAATGTCATCAAAACATGATCTGATGTGTCTTCGTAATTGTTGTAATTCTGGGTGCTGTTTATTTGAGACCTGAAATTAAAAAAAAAAAAATTATTAAAAGTACAAAACAGGATGCTTCGAAATTCTTGAGGGTATCATTTCAGAAATTAGAAAATCAGCTGAGAATCTAACTCCCCTTTATCTGAGCACTTCGGTCATCTCTTTTCGTGTGTCGTTGAAGCTTAGTATATCGTTGTTCAATGGTTTGCTAAGTATTTCCAGTCCTCTGAGATCTGAGTAATTCTGAGTAAACTTAGAATCTTGAAAAAGTATATCATTAAGAAAAAAAAAGAGATAGATGGTAAACTGAAATTAGACCACTGTATCTCATTAATACTTACTGTTAATCTTCTTTCCATGATTTTTTTACCACCAGCTTCTCCATAACATGCCTCATATGGAAAACTCCAATCTCGCACTAAAAACTCTAATTTCTGATAAAAATAATAGTTAAGAACATTACTCAATAGTTTGAAAATTACCAAGGTAAAGCTAGGAATAATCAAGGTATAGTGTCAATCAGGGACTATCAATTCAGTAGAATTTGTAGTATTTTCATATCGATCTATTTATAAAAGATCAGACAGGAGGTATTACCATTTTATTAACCAAAGTATAAGGTAGAAAAAGAAAATATGTGATACATGCTTTTTCTCTTGAGTATAAGGCTCCAGAGATAACCTGTGAAATACCTGAGACATTTACTCACTTGAAATGGTTTACTAACATTGTCATTAGCTTCTAATGCTAATCTACCATATTCTGTAAATAACTGAAAATAAAACAATTTATTCTGAATCTTATTGTATATGATATATTTACATTAACCTTAAAGATAAAACCTAAATAAAGAAAGGCACATCAATTTATCCATGTCTGTATTTCAAAACAGAATTCAATGATCAATTAGAAAACACTGTGTCAAAACAAGAAATATGCCTATAGTCCAGTGGTGTTTCTATGATGAATTTGCATATGGACCCCTCTGTTGACAACTCTGTAGCCTCTATACAGCCCGAATGATTAATATAAACAATATTGACATAATATGTTCTAATAATGACGTTAAACACTAGACAAAACTCATTTAACTTACTTGTAAATGCTGTAAGTCATCCTCTTGGATATTTTGGGTTAAATTAAAAACCTGAAAGCAGAAAAATATAGTCAAAAACTGATCAAAAAAATCCCCTTCAAATGTCTCAAAAAGCTATATTGTCTGACCAATGACCAGTAACCAGAGTGGTCTCTAAATCACTGATTGTGTAAATATCAACTGATGTATCAAAGTAGGAAATAGTCTTAGAATGGTTGATGCAAATCCCAACCAGAGACCAGTCTAAAATGTGCATCATTATAAAGCTTAATTTATATGAGGGGTGAGCATTACTTTTAAATGTTAAACTACTATAAAGTAAATTGTTCGTTTATTACCTGAACTGAACTTAACATAGTACTGAGAGCAAAGACAGTAGCACAATCTCTAACTGTAGACTCACTATCAAAAGCACCTTGTGTGTCCATTAATAATACTGCTAACTAAAAGTATATAATAAAAGAAAAATTCAAAAGGATGAACAAGCCGGTTTTAAACCCAATTTTTTATATATATATACATGTACAAGGAGTTTTTCTGGCTTTTTTTGTGCATCAGGGTCATTAATGGCTTCTATTTGCATTATTCCAATTTTCTATTATATCAATGTTGGGCCTTATACAAAGAGTATAATTTATACGTTAAAGTAGATTTTTAAAGTTAAAAGTTGGAAACGACTGATTGAGGGACATTCAATATATAGCAATTTTGAATGCATAGTAATTAACAAATAGATTTGCACCTTCTACAAGCTGTTTCAATACAACAATAGTCTATAATACAATGGTAATCACTACAATGCAGACTACATGTTCAACAAACATGGGTAGATCTATATCAAAACAAATTTCCAAATTTGAAATATTTTCGTTTGAATCTCAAAAAATTGAGACTTACATCTTGCCCACTACCTGAGCGACAAACAAACGGCTCACTCCATAATAATATTCCTGTAGTATCTCTTTCTGAACCACCACGCCATGAAAATCCTTCTAATGGAGAGTTTTCATCACCCATCCAATCTGGAGAACACTAAAAAATAATTTGGTGGTAAAGATAGCTTGTTGGCAAGGAAACATAAGCTTGTTTATAATGAAAGTTATTTGAAAGAACAATAACATAGCTTCTTCAGACAAAATTATAAACACACATTTCAAATAAATAGATCTAATACTGATGCTTAAGTAATTTTTTTTTAAATTTTGATGGGTTCAAATAGATTTTTCAGGGTCATTTTTCAACTTACTGTTTTATATAAATTATACACGGTTGGGTGTATCGCTTGAAAGACAGTGAATGCTTATCCTTGTGAAGAACCTGATGCTATTGGGTTTCTTAACTCTTTGTGAGAGTCCACAGTATTATATTTATATCTAAGCTTATTCCACTAAGTATTGTCAAATCTAAGATTGTCTTCTTTCCTCATTATTCCAGTTGGGAAATTTTAAAATAACCACAAGTAATCTGGGAAAGATCAATGTCATTTGAAAAATGATCTATGGTTGGGCAGTTTATTTGTTTTCCTTTTCTTTCTTTCCTATCTTATCAAAATATCTTTTTTTTTAAGAAATATGCAAACCAATTTTTCTGTGTGAAATTTCAGCTTTATTCATTATGGCAAAGTCAAAATATGTTACAAATCAATGTCAAATATATTGGCAAGTCTATGAAAACAATCTGCAGTATTAATAAGTATAGGTTAGTAAAAGTATTATTAGGTAGAATGGCCAGCTGTTTAATTCACACTTATAAAATATAGTACTAGTACTAGTTAGTTATTAGACTGCTGTTGACTTAGCTAATTTATCAATATTGGTCATTATAAATGCAACTTATGCATGGCTGTTCTGTAGAAATGTCATTAAATTTTACATTCAACTGTCCAGATTTTATTGGCCTATTATGCACATTGGAAGCACTAAAATGCTAAATGATTACATGAAGGCAATAGAATCAACTCACATAGCTATGTCATGAGCTCTAGAGCAGTGGTTCCCAACCTATTTCACACCCATGGTGCAATCATGTGGAACTTTCACACACTAAAATTTGTTTCATCCACATTTTCAGCATGTGATGATTGTGAGGTGCTGAATACAAATTCTTCTCCTACACCAGTTGGCCACACCCCAGGGGATGAAAACACCCCAGGTTGTGAAACACGGTCAAGCGAGATCAATAAATGAAGCCTCAAATTTTTTATTAATCCCTGCGCACACAATTGTACAAATTTATTCATCCCAAAAATTGTGTGTATTTAATCCACTTTCAGATAATCATCACAGGGCATTCAGTCAAAATGTCTTTTTGTATTGACCTCTTTGATAAAACTGTTATTATGTCTTCAATCTCAAGACAGTTGAATATTTGAATAAAAGTGTTTCAGTAGAGGTTGAACTAAAAATAGTTCAGTTGTTAATGTAAATAATCACAATCAGTTGTTAAAATATAGGATAGGCACTTAAATAGATGATAAAAACACTTACATCTGCACTTAGATATCTTAGAAAGAAATCTAAAAGAAAGGATTTCCCTTTACGAAATGCTCCTGCCACAGATACCACCACAACTTTCTTATTTCGTATATGAGGCTGTAATAAAACTTCTTCTAACGCTTCTTCGTTTAATTCAAATGTATGATCATCATTGGCCACTACTATTTGTATAGGATGACCTTTTAAAGGTGCTCCTGTTGCTGACACTGGAAATACACAAAATTTAACATTTTTAGATCTGTTTATCAAGAGTTGTCTTTATCGAAAAGCAATACCCATCATAAACTGCCTTCTGAATAATTCTGTCACAGGTCTAGAGTTCACCAAATTATCTATCAAAGCAACAGAGTTACACAGATGTTATAAGTATAATGAGATTGCATCAAATTTATTCATGGTTGCAAGTTATATTTCTTTTATAAATTCAATAATTCATCATTAAATATTCCATATTCATAAAATATCTAAATTTTGTGCTTGCTTTCTCAAGACACATAAATAAAATACTCTTACTGTACAGGTACACATAAACTGTTACATTTTACATCTTTTTTTCTTTCAAAATAAAGTAGGAATGATAGATGTATGGCTAGAGATATCAAAGCACATTTTGGACATTTTGGAAAAACAAGAGCAGCATAAGCAGTACCAGGTATGCAAATACTTTTCAGAAAGTTTAATTGTACATTGTACCAGCCTAAATAATCTTGACAGGAATTACAGTCCACGGTCTGACAGATAAGATGAACCAGTGAATGAGGAAATAATAACATAACCAAATGTATTTGTAGGCTTGTTTTTATAGAGGAATAGAAATGAAAATAAAAATCCATACTACAGAATCATTTGTACAAGGCAAAGATATTTGTGCACACACATTCAAAGTACAATTTTTGAAAAAAACAGGAGTCAATCCCTTTATTTTTAATCAGTTTGAGTGGGCAATGAACTTAAAGGGATTATCGAGGACACTGATAGTATCTAATTTGCAGCATTCCAATTTGTATTCAGACATTCCTGCAATTCCATTAGAACTAAGATGACATCACTAATCAGTAAGGGCTTTAATAAATTATGTGATAATTAAAGCATATTTTGTGATAAGTGAATTGCAGGAACCACAGACATCTGATTGGAAATTGGAATAGCGCAAATTAATGCTATCAGTGTCCCCGGTAAGCACGGAGAACTTAGAATGGAGAATTTAGAATCGAGAATCCAGTACGTTTAGTAATTCTGATATGCTTATTTTTTAATTTTTTCAACCAGTAAGCAATCTATTATATACTGCTAAGTGTTCAGTGTTATTTTTGAACCATCTCATCATGTGCACAAACATCTTTCATCCATGGCATACTAGAGAGTTTGATCAGAAATAAACCTACAAAAGAAACATAAGGTGCCATAGCCAGAAAAAGTACTAATTTGCAGAGATCTAAAAGAAAAACATAAGCACGTTTTCCAATTCCATTCTACAACAATAGCAGTAACTTACTGTTTTCCTGTAGTTGGTCTATATTTGCTGACATACTGGATTGTACACAATTCACAATAATAATATTGTCAAGATCACAATTAGTGTTTATAGACTACAGTGTTGATCAATTAACTATATTCCAATCAAAGTTCATTCATATCACATACTGTATTCAACTGATTCAAATCTCAATTCCAAAGTCTACATACTCAAGGACATCCTATTCAAAATCAAAATAAACTTCAAATTAAAGGTAAACACAAAGTAAGCTTATGCACTTAAACAGTAGGCTAACAGTATCATGAGGAATAAGTTGTATCAATTCCTTTCAAACATCAAAATCAAAATATTTTCTCAATGAGTAGAACATGACACGTAAAAAGGTCACGAGGAAGTCATTTCTTTTCCAAAAAAATGTTGTTACATTTTACTATTTAAGCAAAATTTAAATGCAAAAGTTTGAAACAGGATACCAGCATTCTGTTATATTACTAGTGTTTTCACACAAATAAACTCAATCCATCAGTGTAAATACATTACAAAGTATTCCTAATTAGACTTCATTTTTTTTCTATCATATCAAATCACAATCAATAAGTTAGCTTACTGTCAGTACGGTATTGATGTTTCTAAGACAAATCAAGTAAATTTTATTTGTTACACCCAATGAGACTACTGGTACAGGTAAATCTTTGGTTTCAATGAAACACAAACTTTCGTCTATCAATCACATATTATAAATCAAGTAAGAAGTTTAAGCTTAAAACTTTTAAATTGAATGAACTCAATGTCATGGAGTTAAAAATTTGTGCAATTTATATTGAAGGTTAAATGAAGTGGTGGGATGGTTTAACAAATCAACAAGCCGAAACAGAAATGCCAATTGATACATTTACAATCATTGTATCTCAAACTATAAGCTTAGTCAAAATTCGATGAAAAACAGATTCAAACTATGTTTTCACACAAGTCTATGTTATGAGTTATTTTACCTTTAAGTATTGAGATCAGAGTTTGTAAGTTTGTAAAAATTTCCCACCTTAAAGGAAAAGCTTTATAATTAGAACCATATATTTGGTTGTATGCACCAGTATATCAGCTTGATGTTGTTACATTCTTTACAAAGTTAAATCAATGACAATTTTATCTTGGTACAACCAGTAAGACATGTTTTGTAGTGCACAAAAATTATTTAAATGAAATGGAGTTATGTCTATGTCCAACAGAACATTGAATTTAGAAAACAAAAATCAACAAGCTTGATTCTTTAAACATCAAAGACCCCTGATGTTATCACAATATGAATCAATACTTTCAAATTGCAGAGTGGTTCAGAATCAGGAAAAAAGAATATCTTTCAGTTTCATGTTGATTTATATTATAAAACACACTAAGAAATGGCAAATCATTTCTATCACCTCAAATCAAGCTTTAAATAAATTGGATTAAGCTTCAGCTTAAATTTCAGATTATAGTCAATAATATTCATTTAATAATAATCAACAAGAGCTCATATTCTACTGACAGCATGTGTTTAAGATACAAAATCCTCACCAGGACAGCTGATAAGATTTCCAGCCATTATGCAACTAAGGCATATATAAGCAAACTAACTGAATCAAAGAGCATTAGACTAGATAAAATGCATAGTTTTTTTTTTGCTGAGTTATTTCTAGAACAACCATTACATATCAGTGACCTTTGAACAACATGATTCCCCCCACAGGCAATCAGCACAATTTTATCTTAAGAGGTCAATTCAACATAATATGAAGTTTAAAATTGAACACATAACTAAATTAAACTTTCTCAGATATGTCAACTAAGACAAATTGACCAGATATAAAACAACCTTTACTTGACCTTGTTTCAAGATATAGTTTAACAGGTGGTAACTATACTAAAATAACTGTCTGACTCTACTATAAGTATATTGTCTTTATGCTTTCATCAGTAAATCAATATTTATTATTCAATGAATTAACTTTGATCTTACTTTTTACTCATGTGTTGAAAAAATGCATAAATAAGATAGGCAGAAAGGCATCATTTTGAAATGTTTTGAAGAGTCAAAATTTAAGGAAGTTTTCTGATGAAATTAAAAGTTCATTTTTCAGGAAAAAGCAACTGGTATTTTTTAAGTTTTTTTTTTAAGTCCCTAGATATACTTTAAGAATAGGAAAACACATACTTGACAGTTTAGATATTTACCAGTATCAAGACGGTTGAATCCAGGGCTGTTGATTTAGCTCTATATATTCCGGACTCGACCGACCGGGCAGCTCAAAAATTAAAAATCAAATCCACACAACAGTCTGGTGGAAAAACTATTTGTATGCATTCATATGACCAAATCAAATAATGTTAAATAAAAAACAAATACATAACACTCCCTATTAAGGAGCTCACCAATCCCAAGCTAATAGGAAAGATTTCTTTGCTATAACGCCTTCATTAATTTTCACTTAGAAAGCATTATAATACAAACTGAATATATCTATGGCAACAGGTAAGGAAAATCCAATATGTTCACATCAACAAACTAGTCAAATAAAAATGAAAGGCTAACACAATCAGATAACATAACATGAATGAACTCTGATCTTTCACATCCGATCTGCCACTCAAACTGGGATATGAAATAAGATTTGAAAACAGATTGTTAGCTAGATTGTAATAACTTTGTTGGATTGGAAATATTTATATAAATTAATTTTTTCCATTGGATCTGGGTATCACTGGCATCAGGAAACCCTTCCAGAATGTTTTATTGCAGGCATATTGTAGAGACAAATATAAATAAAATGAAAAAGATTTTAAAAAATTAGACAATATAAGTTTATCTACGGTATGATCTCTACTGATATCACTAGTTTTCAAATTAGACTATAATAATCATCAGTTAGAGACAATTTTTATTTCTGTAGTACCGGTATCTTGAAGAATTGATATAAAAAATGCTTGATTAATAAAAACACATCTAAAAAATAATAATTTGTTGTCTGTGAAATTTTTAGGGTCACACTATATAAACAAATGAATGATTAAATACACACGAGAATTTTTTTTTATGACATTCTGCCATAATATGGTGCTGAAGAGTCAAACATCCCAGTGTCAAAAGTGACAATCAAGTAGGCCTACTCTCTGACTACAACATTTGAATATTTGCAATCATATGCGTATGACTTGAAATATCAATTACCGGTACAAAATACACTGAGAGTTTTAGATTGTCTTTGGGTTAATGGCACTGGAAAATTCATTATTTGTAAACACGATTTTGTAGAAGAGAATTTTCAGTTCGAAGAGTAGGTCATTTTCACAGGAACTTTCTGGGAGGGAAGGGTATCTATTTCAAATGTAAAATCACTGAATGACAAATTTCTATGGATGGACCCCCAGACATTCTACGACAATTGGTAAGCTTATACAATTGAAAAATTTATTATGAATATGTATGAAATGAAAGAAAATTTCGATTCAAAGCTCAATGTAGTCAGAGAGTAGATGTGCTACAGCCTTTACCAACCAAAAACAATCGTGTCAAGGTTTTACTAGCAAATCATTTTCATAAAAAATGTAAAAATACTCTTAATGCTACAAGCTCCTAAGGCCTGTGATGTATGAATATCATTTATAGATTTTTTTTGTATTTCTTTACCAGGCTAATTTTTTTTTTTTTTAGATCTTTTATAATTTTCCAGTAAAAATAGAATAACAAAATAAATAATGAATTGTTTTTTCTAATTGAAAATTCCAACAAACTCAAATTTCATTGCAATTCTTTGCCTATAAAATCTTTATATTAGGCTAGTATATTGAAGAGCTTAATAAATGGTTAATGAAATTCATTGTTATTGTGTGAGCTTTATGATCCTACCTCAGATTTAAATATTTATTATGTATAAATAGACATATGCTCGCTTACACAATTTAAACTATTTTTTATTATTATTTACGACGTTTTGGTTTGGAGATTAGTCTTGCAATATCGAGAAAACCATGTCCTAAAGAAATCGAGGGTTCGAAAAAGAAGATTAATTTTTTTTTCAATTCAACAAAACAGCATTTTGTCTGTAAGAGTATATTAAGGCTAATCACAAGAATCACTTACCAGGTGGAGAATCGTAAGCTGGCATATTATTTGGCTGTAACTTTTCCGCCATGTCAATCGTGGAACTGACGTCACTTCTGGGACATGCGCCTGATTTAAATCATGACGTCATGGACTACTTCAGGGAACCTGTTTACCATCCGGAATAACACATTTATTACTACGCAAATGGCTCGAGTTTGAAATGTCAAACTCCTTTTTGAACACTAAAAGCCTTATAAAGTCTTTCATAGCTGCACTTTTAACCATCCACTCAAATTTATTCTTAGATATTGAGCTGACAATGCAATCCAGAAATTTAGTTTTGGGTATTCCAAGACCTTTTTGTTAATGCGGAGATATAAAATTTGGAGTTGTTAGGCCTTGACAATCTATGGCCGTACTTTCAGGCCGAAATATTCCAAATTTACATGCCGCTATGTAAATCAATATACATTTGTTAGTATCAAAGGTAGGGAAATGCGATAAAACAATATATTAGAATTGTATTGACACCATTGATCATGCAAGTGCGGCTGAAATGTGGGTGGAAATGCTTCCCCAAAGTTGGCGGATTTGCAAATTGAAATAAACACGTTCACGCAATCGCGTTTATTATTCAGTTCAAATCATGCTAAATTTATGTATGAAATTGACCACTGTCATCACTGTGATGCTAAAATAATGTTGATTATATCGTCATTTATGTATACAACAGATTGTCACGGCGATAATGAACTTATGTCGTCTGCTTTTCTCAGCTGATTGGTAGATTAATTCCCCTGTTAATTGATCTCACCTGTTTTGATTAGGTTTTCATAATACTAAACCTACCTACCTGTATAATATTTGTTAGTTAGGTGATATAAAAATAAAATTCCCATTACAGCATTGGCCTGGGTCACAAAACTACATTTTCATGTGCTATTGTTAGTATTTGAATTAATAAATTAGGGATTGATAATAATCAGTGGTAGTGGTAGGCTACCAATCTAATCAAGACAACTGAGTAAAGAGAAATGCTTCAATCAATGTACACAAATGTTTGTTTCACTTTTTATTAGATCCTTACATGATACAACAAAGCATTTATTTTTTATTATTTTACTTAGACCTGTGTCATAGTTTAATACAGTTAGCAATAGACTAGGGATGTGTCATCACCCTTTGCAATATTTTCATTGTGTCTTTTCTGTCAAACTGAAACTTAAAGGATAAGATAATATCTATTGAATTTCCTATTTCAGATTCTATCAAAATGTAAATTCTCTGGCTTGACTTAGGCGTTGTGTCAGAAATAAGCATAATATAAAGTTGTGAAGTTGTATTTGACGGTTTTCTAGTGAGAGTAAAGGAATGTGTAAGTTAATTAGGCTATGGAAGAAGGGCTGTCAGAGACAGGAGACACAGATGAGCTATCAGTTAGAAGAAGGAAAATGGAAGGCCTTAGTTTACAACTTGCTTCTCAACCCACATCAGATTTACCAGTTACAAGTTCTACATTTATTGATTCAAATAATCCTACTTTGTCGTTCCCGTTTACTGCTCCAATACATTTTAGTCTCGATGAGTTGTCTAACTTGTCAGCTTTAAAAGAAGAGAAAGACATAAGACTGAATTCTCAAATATCCAAAATGAGTGAAAATAGTTTTAATGACAATAAAAATGAATTGAAAGTGTATTCAGATCGGTCGGAATTAACTGATATGAAGGAATTGTCACCGTTACATATGTTAGCAGTGTCAGCTTTTCAGGAACATGGACAGCAAAGTCCTGCTTCAACTAGTCAAGCTGGTCCTCAAGTGTTGCGTTATCAGACGTCAGGAGGAGGTGGGGACGCCATGTTAAGTGCTATCAATTATAATAATGACAGTGAAATGTTGAATGAAAGTGCCTTTGAAATGAACTCAACTAATACACAATTAGATGAAGGTATTATGGGTAATCCATCTCAGAATATTCGGTTATCTGAGGGTCAAGGCAGTCATACGTATGATTTATTTGATGGAAATGTGAATGAAGCCTTATCACTTTCACCATTAGCTGAAACAGGCTTGATTGTAGATGAGGGTGGAATTGCTGACTCTAATCAAGAGAGTAATAGTAAGTCACTTTTGCTTCATTTAATGCCAAATCATGATCTTATAGCTTTCATTTGAGCCTAATTGACACTTCAAACCATCTGAGCAGAAAATTGAGCGATTATTAATTTTTTGTTCTGCAAGAGCTTATTCAAAAAGTTTCAAAAGTATTGGATTTTTTGCGGTAATTTATGTCAATTCCATAATTTATAACTTTTTAAAAATGGTTTAAATTGGATGTTTTCATGAATTGCCTGCAGCTTATTAGATATTTATGACCACGTTTTAGGAATATGGAGCATCAAACATTATTTAAATCGGTACCAGTAGGCGCCAAGATCGTTCTTTAAGTTTGTTCCTTAAGTTTGAGAGAATGATGATAATCTAGTACTGGTACTTTGAAAATGGATTCCGAAAACATTTTATTTATCTTTTCAGTTTTAAATGAACAAAATCAAGGTATAGCTCAGGATACCAACAATGGAAATAAAAAAGGCAAAAAAAATTTACCAAAGACACAGTTTTCACCAATGAAACAAAATCTGGTCTGTCCAACGTGTGGTAAAAGTTTTAATAACTCAAGTGCTTTAGCTAAACATAGATTAACTCACAGTGAAGAGAGGAAATATATCTGTAATGTTTGTCATAAAGGTTTTAAAAGACAAGATCATTTGTAAGTGTTTTTTTTCAATATGCTGGATAATGTTAATGTGTCAAAACGCATTATTGGCGTATATTAAATATATTTTATTGAGTTCATTAGCCAGATCAAAGTTCTAATGATATTATTTCCAACCAATCAAAGCTTGTCATGTAGTAAAGCGAAACCCAAAATAAAGTACAGTTATCAAGAACTATGTTCTACATGACATGATTGGTTATAAATAAATTCATTAGAACAGGGCTGCTATAGAGAACTCGTGAGATCAAAATAAGCAGAAAAAAATCAGAAAAAATATATTAATCTAATTTTGATAAGATTGATATTGAGCAAACTCTTTTCCTTCGAAATAAAGGTTTTTATATCTAATAGAACTCAATGATGTTGAATATTTCAGAAATGGACATTTGATGACACATAGAGAAAAGAAGCCTTATGAATGTCAAGAAGAGAATTGTGAGAAGAGTTATTGTGATGCAAGGTCACTACGCCGTCATCTTGAAGGTCACCATCATCAAACACCTGAGGCTATAGCTGCCAGTGTTTTAGCTTCCATGAATGCTGCTGGTATATCTAATAATAGCCAATCAAATGGTAAACCAAGAGCCTCAGACCAACGAGCTTTTCAGGTAATGCTTTCGCCTTTCATATTAAAAAAAAAAGTCATGATATGCCTGTGTAATTTTGGAAATATTTTTTTAGCCTTTTTAGCATCAACAGAAGTAGCCTTAATTGTGTATCATAATTTGAGTTGAATCAATATCTTTCAAGAAGTGACTAAAATTTTGTTACTTAAACTGTGTTTAATGCTTACTCAGAATGCACCTTTTGTTCCTGTCTCAAAATCCAAGCTTTAGATCAAAAAGACAAATGTTGTAAAGGGCCTTCTTCAGATGTAAACTGTAGTGGCTAAATTAAAAATCTTTCAGTTGGCATGTAAGTTGTGTAACAGACTATGTGTACACCATATATCTTAATTTCTTGAATTTTAATTCAGCAGGAGGCCACACAGATGTTGCAAATATCATCACCAAGTTATAGTGGTAATACTACTCCTTCACCTTCACCTAGTTATACAAACACTGCACAAACAGGAGGAAAACAATTCTTTCCATTTGATCAAGTGCAGAATGTACAACAACAACAACAACAGCAAACAGTTGTCAGCCAACCAGCACCTAAAACAACAACAACTACACAAGGTGGAAATAGTAAACAGAGTTGGCAAGGTGCACGTAACCCAGTATATAATTATGTTAGTAATCCATTCACTGGACCAGCACCAGGAAATTCAGAACTGTCATCCAGTAGTGGTGGTTATAGTCCAGTTAGTCCTGTACCTGCTGCATCTAATACATCAGCTTCTGCCACACCTCATCTTGCCACCCATCAGAGACAGTTATGGTTTAATAATACTACACCTGCTGATATGGTCAAAGCCAGGTGATTTACAGTTTCTTGAATTTTGATAAGTAACTTTGACACCCTGTGCTGGTTCCTTCTGTAGAATAGTACTCTGTTACTTTTCAATCACCCTTTTGACAAATTTGATTTAAATATGGTTAGGAATTTGTTCAGAAAGTTGGAATGGAGGAATTTAATCTTGTCTCTGCTACCCATTTACAGAACAGAAAATCTTTTGCTTGCCCTCAAGATAATCGTCTGTCAGATTAGTATCAAGAATGTTCATACTGCTCTTTTGTTTTTTTAAATTGAATACTGATCCAACAGTGCTAAACCAGCCACCTTGCCTTATGGAAAATCTACAGTTTTGCTATATGATTTTTTGCAACAATAAATTTTTTTGTTACAGTGAAGACGTTGTAAAGCCCCCTGTATCTTGTACAATTTGTGAGAAAAAGTTTAAGAATATACCTGCTTTAAATGGCCATATGAGATTACATGGTGGATATATGAAAAAAGTATGTTTTAGAAAACTAGTATGGAAGTAATAACATCATTTGTCTACAAAGGCATCAGAAAGTTTGTTTGTCATCTACATGGTCCATGAACTCTTGGTATACTCTTGGTATTAGTCAATTATGGATAGATTTTGACATTTTTCAACAAAGAGACAGAGACAGATCATTTAGATATTGCTTGTAAAAGCAAATCACCAAATATTATTATTATGAATCTTTTGTTTTCAGGAAAAAGGTGATAAAGATGATACCAAAAAGTCTTCCAAACCAAAGACTAAAATAGTAAAACAACCACCACCTCGTCTCCCCAGTAGCCATCAATCAACAGCTCATCCATCACAAGTCCAAAATATATTGCCATCATTAGTAAATCAAGGTCTTCAGATATTGAAATCACCTCAATATTCATCAACTGGCCAGTCAGTAGCCCAGCCAGCTTCTGTTCAACCAGTTAGTGTTCCAGCTCAACAACCACAGCAGCTAGCTTCTGAACAGTCTAGTAACTTTGTTCGTCAACAACATCCAATTTTACAACATCAACTTCAGATTCATGCCCTTCAGCAACAGCAACAACAACAGCAGGTGCAGGCATCTGAACAGCAACAATCTTTGGCTGCTCAAAATTTACAGGTTAGTTATTATGGAATCTGTGCGACAATTGGTGGCACATATCATGATTTAGGATTTTAGGACACTACAAAAATCACATTTCGAGAGCTGAAAACAAGGCCTCTACACGTTGATTTTGGATTTTCATAATCTTTTTTGTTGATGTTCAGCAAGTTGCCTAGTTTTCATATTCCTCAGTTAAAATATTAGAATTGCAACCCCAAATTAAATTTAAACTGTTTCTTACTGGATGATATAAATTTCATTTCCAATATAGAATTAGATGGGCTGTTTCAGATTCTCTGGTTGCTATATGTCGTTGATTTTTTTTCCAGCAAAGTCAGACGGTTAATTCTGGAAATGAAGGACAACAAGCAGAACTGAGAACAATTCCACATCCAGCCTTGCTACAAGTACATGGTGTTACTCCTGATCAGATACTTCCTATACATCAATTAGATCCAGTACAACAACAGCTAGTTCAACAACAATTACAACAGCTGACATTAGCAGCTGTGCCTAATCTCATACAACAAAGCATCCAACTGCCACCATCATTGACCTCTCAGCTCAATCCACAACAACTTGAGACTGTACAACAGTTACAACCCAACCATATACAACAACTGATTCAAGAACACCATTTGCTGCAACAAAGACAACTTCAAGAACAACAACAACAACAAGCAAGCAAATCAGAAGATTCTTCAAATCAAATGGTTGAAACTCAGGTACAGGCACAATATGAAATGCAACAACAACAGCAACAGATGCTAGCCGAACAAAATAGGGCCTTGTTACAGCAGCAATCATTGGGGTTGCAGGGAATACAAAATATAGACATAGGGCAGCAACAACAGAGAGAGCAAGATGAACTGGCTCGGCAACGGCTGCAGGAACAGCAAAATGCTCAAATTGAGAATATGGATCTGAACCAGATTTCTCAGACATTATTAGGTCTGCAGTCCCAAGGAATGACATTGCCTTCCAGTAATCCATCATCTGTCAGTGTATCATACAATCAGAGACAATTAGATCCTAATGCCACATCGCCTTTCATTTCTGGAAATGATGTTCATCTTCCACAGCCAACTCAACGTCAAGATGTGGGCATGTTTGGGTCCGTGTCAGAAGCTATGCCACAAGAAGGGAAACTTTCCAACATACAACCTACGTTACATCAGCTGTCAATGTCCCATCCAGTTGATTCATCTCAAAGTACAATAGACAGTATCCAAAGAGATTTGATGGAGTCCCATCCCAAAGTTGTACCATGTGTATCAAGTTCTGGTGACTCAGTGCTACGAAATGAACTATTAAAATCTCAAAACTTTAGACCAATATCTGCTTCTCATTCTGAAGTGCGGCGAAGATTATCTGCTGATTCTGAACGAACTATTTCTCCTCAACATAGCCACGCTAATTTAACTATGTTATTAACAAAAGGTCCACAAAGTGACAAATTTGCGAAACCTAGAACTTTGACAGAATTCTCCCCCCCAAGTGGACGTGTGCGTATGCGTAGTAAATCAGGTGATGATCATATTCGTTCTAAATTAATGCGTTCAAAGAGTATTGATCATAGTTTTATGAGACCTAGGAGTCAGACTGAGGATTCTTTATATCGCGAGAGACACAGTGAAACTGTGATTGGACGATCTAAAAGTCATGCTGATGATGTGTTCTCAAAATCTGCTGGTGCCAGTGTGTTCAGGAATCCAGGAATTCTTGCGAGTCCCGTGAAATTTAAACGTAAACATCGTCCAGCACCTCTGTTCATACCACCTCATTTAAACAGTTTTCAAAGTCGTTTGCGATCTCCACGACTCTGGGATGGAAGTGAGTTAAAAGGACCAGGTCATGGACATACACCTCCGCCCTATACCCCACCTCCCATGTTGAGTCCAAATAGAAGGAGTTCAGGATTATTTTGTTCAATTCAAAGTGCGCGACCATTCACTCCACGTTCTGCTCCTATTACACCTAGACTTCTGCCTCGTAAAAGTAAGTCTATTTTTATTTATTATTTTTAGACAATCAATAGTCTGTTGTCAGAAACATCATCATTGGTTTGATTAGAAAAAAGTTTTAATTGCTGCAAGGATGGATTATCCAAACAATGTGCGAGCTCGATGTAATACAGAAAATTTTGCCACATGCTTAAATTTGTCCCGGAATTACCACCCCATTGGAAGAGCTGAGTTTATGATGCTTTGTCATGTGTCAAAAAGTCAATCACACATTGGACATGAATGAGGTTGTAATTTGTAGGTAGTATAAGTAAACCAGAAGTTGAAGAAGAAACAGAAGATTTAGAATCAGAAGATACAACTCCACCACCAGAAACAGATACCAAACCGTATGTTCTTTATTATCATCTTCATCAAGATAAGCTCATTTCAGAGAACGTTATGTGAAGCAACAATAAAATTAGAGAAATACAATATGCTTATTTGAAATGCAATCATTTATATTTCAGACATATTAATGTAGGGACTCAATTTCAAGCTGTTTTACCTCAGTTTAACCGTAAGTATCAACTCATGAAACAATTTTGGATTTTTTCTGAGCAAAATTTCTTTGCTTTCTTTCTTTCCATTGCTAAAAGATGTGACTCAAAGCCCTACTAAACCTCTGTTGCAAAAGAATGATGTCCATGTTTTCAATCTGCAACTGGTTACCTCAGGTTTTTGTACTATTCTTCCAAGGGAGACAACTCCAAGTACATACTTCAGACTACAATAATTTACAGCTAAATGGAACTTTATTTTGTTGCTATCTTTATTTCAGCAAATATGAAAAATGCTTTGAGATCTATATCTAGAGAAGATGTGATGTGGGAACCATTTGCTATGGCAGACAATACTGACGATGAAGGTTGGTCCTTGAACTTATCATAGTCAATATCTGTAAACAATGGAAATCATGGCCTATTATTTCTGTCATTATTAAAAATTTTACAGTCTTTTATGTTAGCA